TCGCTCGAGTTAGAGCCGCGTGGGGATGGGGAGAGACGCGGGCGGGAGGACGGGAGGTAGGAGGACGACGCACGGGCGACTTTAAAAACGGCGAGAGAATTGTTTGCGGGGGACGGCGGCAATAGGAGTTTGATGAGCGGGGCGCGCGTGTGTGTGTGTGGTGTGTGTGTGTGGTGTATGTGTTGTGTGTGTGTGTGGTGTGTGTGGTGTGTGTGGTGTATGGTGTGTGTGTGTGTATGATGTATGGTGTGTGTGTGGTGTGTGTGTATGATGTATGGTGTGTGTGGTGTGTGTGTGGTGTGTGTGGTGTGTGTGTATGATGTATGGTGCGTGTGGTGTGTGTGGTGTGTGGTGTGTGTGTGTGTGGTGTGTGTGGTGTATGGTGTGTGTGTGTATGATGTATGGTGTGTGTGTGGTGTGTGGGGTGTGTGTATGATGTGTGTGGTGTGTATGGTGTGTGTGTGTGTATGATGTATGGTGTGTGTGTGTGGTGTGTGTGGTGTCTGTGTGTGGTGTGTGTGTATGATGTATGGTGTGTGTGGTGTGTATGGTGTGTATGGTGTGTGTGTGGTGTGTGGTATGTGTGTATGATGTATGGTGTGTGTGTGTGGTGTGTGTATGATGTATGGTGTGTGTGTGGTGTGTATGGTGTATGGTGTGTGTGTCGTGTGTATGGTGTGTGGTGTGTGTGTATGATGTATGGTGTGTGTGGTGTGTATGGTGTATGGTGTGTGGCGGTGTCCCACGCTACGCGAAGAAGACCGAGCCCAGGGAAACGGAACCGCCAGGGGCCATGCTCGTAAAACACGGCGCAAGGCCAGTCAGGCGAAATACACATTTAGTGTAAAGTTTACCGCAAGAATCAGGCGAGTGAGGCGGCACGAGCATGGTGAAGTATGGTCAAATAGCCCCCGCGGTGTGGAGAGGGCCCCCGACCTACAGTGAATTGACAAAGGGCTCCGCATGAACAACGTGCAACTAACCAGTCCAGATTCCCCCATTAGGACACTGTAAGTTTTAGGAATTAATTTTCGTGACATACTACACATGCCATATATGAAGCATCAAATGCAAACTTTGAAGTCACATCTCTTTTCAGTAAACATAAAGCCCACATTGTATTTTCCGAGAGCGAGAAATTGACATAAGTTTAAAACAATATTTTTTTTATATATATTGCTCGTTCACTCTCTTCACGTGGCAAATCCGGAGTGGCAATGAAATGTGCTTGGAGTTCTTTGTTTCTTCACGTGAGCTGTAAAATAGAAGCGGTTTCTGTGTTGGTGATGTCGGTGGGGTGGGGGTGCTGTGGTTGTGGACTCCCAAGTACGCATGAAAATTCTCATTTTCTCTCTCCTGTGATGAGTGGTCAATCCAGAGAGCCGATGAAATGTGGCTTGTGTTACGTGAGCCGGGCCACAGATGGTTGTGATTATCTCTGTCCTCCCAACACCGAACCCTACCCCCACCTCCACACTGCCCCAGCACCCCCTGACCCAGCTTAGGCCCCGGTGCCTTGAGGGGGCCTGGTGCACACAAGACCCCCCAAGCCAACGCCACCGCACCGCGGCCTCGCGCAGGTCACACCCACACCCCCGTCCCACCTTGCAACCATCACCCACACCACCTCCCCCCACTTCCCCCCACTTCTGCCAGCCCCAAGCTAACAGCCCAACAACAACAAAACATACCGGGCATTTTGTTAAAATCTCATGTGGAACGGCAAAATTATCTCCTGATGAAATGCGGTGACGTTGATCGTGTAGGGCGGCGGTGTCTTCACGATGATTGTGTTGCAGGACCGCAAGGCGAGATGGTGGCTTCTGGAGGCCTTCATCCAGCAATGGGTTGTTGTTAGATTATGATTTTGTTACGTTAGATGATTATGTCCTCTCTTTAGCCTGTATATTATTAACAGTAAATTGTATATACATGTTTAGCCCAGTTAATCTGCTGGATGAAGGCCTCTCCACACCACGTCAGTCATGGGGGCTGTTTGACCATACTTCACCGCGCTGGTCATTGCGGGTTTATGAATGGGGGTGGGGTGAATGGTCGCAGGACCAGTTCAGCTGTCACCCGCCCGCTGATCTGCGAGCCGTGGCTCGGCATCGAACTCGGGTCACTTGGTTCATAGCACAGCGCCGGAATCGCTGCGCCACCGCTCCAACTCAAGTTGGCAGCGAAAGTGAAGTTCTGTACCCGTGAACCTGCCTCTTTGTTCCTTTGCAGGAGTGGTGCCAAGCAAGTCCCACAGGTTTCGTATGGCAACGGCAGTAGACGTGTTTATTTTTATTTTTAAAGGTGGCAAGTGACATTCCCCGATCTTAACTGCGCCACCAACAAAACACAGGCCACGCAATTTGTAAAAAAACAAACGAAACGAATTTGCATTGCTTTAAGTTAATAAAGGGAGTAGACGCACGAACTGTCGAGAATACGTCTCGCTTCATCAAGCACTTCCGACTTTTTTTGTTGGCCCAATAAGAACAATACCCCTTCTTGCAGATCCTCATCCACAGGGACCGCCGGTCCACGCTCTGCTCTGCACCTGTGGCTGCCTGGACTCGTGAGTGGCGAGTGTGACCACATTAGGAGAGGGAAAAAAATGCTTATTAGTTCTTTTGTTGCATACGAGGGCCCTTGTGGACTGATGTTTATTTTCTCATTTTTCTGCCCCTGGGGCTGGAGGCCGAGATGTCTCAGAGGTGCACGCTTGGTCGTCTTGCTCCGGTAATGGCTCTTTTGAGCCACCCAGTGACTTGTAAGCAAAGCTTTAGAAAATGTTCATTTGTTTATTTACTCTTAGGTCCAAATGACCTTCCAAACACAGAGCTTTAATGATGTGCAATGTTACAATTTATTCAGCTAGGAGGAAGAATCCAAATCTCCTGAATACAGTGGGAAATTTGACTTGGCCTGCAAGCCACAAGTTAAAGCAAGTACTACTCCAAATAAGATCGTGAACATGAGAGAGGAACAATTCATTCCACCCTTTAATTTTTTCTTTTACAATCCCAGGCCAATTGGGGGGGGGGGGGGGGGGTGGGCTGTGTTGTGCATATGACCCTCAAAGAATCATGGCAAATGGGCAGCCGCCTGGCCTGCTCATGCCAACATTGGGCCTCCAGCAGAGAGAGCTTTGCAATGCCCCTCTAGTGGGTGTTTGGCCTTCTCTTCCATGCTGGCCAGACTTCTTGCAGGAGATGCAAGTACCAACACTTCACTCCGCCACACACGCGCTGCCAATTGACTCACTGTGCTGTACCCGATCACAATGCTGGATGGATAGAGGCGGGGAGATGTAATAACCTTGACAATTGTTCCAGCTGCCGCCCTGGGACCTCGAGATTGCAAGTGCAGTGTGCCAAAGCGGCAGCTCCGCCAATACCAAACGCAGATGTCGATTGTCAAACTTGGAAGCCCGTGTTGCAAAAATAAGCTGGACAAAAACAAAACAACTAAAAAAAATCCAAATTTTAATTCTAAAGAGATGAACGTGTGTAAGAGCAACATAGCGACAAATGCACAATACTTGCCATTCGACAGCTACGAGGGCTGACGGATTGTGTAGAGGGCGGAGGTTGGGCAAGGGGGAACCTTGGAATACGCAAGAGAGTGTGCTTGCATACATTCAGGACAAACAGTTCACTTGAAAACACAGCACATCCTCAGCAAGCGCGACAGGGCAGAACTCGCTCACAAAGTCCCAATGCCAGCTGTGTGGAGAACCCCAATCGGGAAAAATGACAAAAGGAAATAAATATGCGAGTAATTTTAGCAGAGAAATGGCAGCACAAAGACGTGCAAGCACGCTCAAGGCAAAGCAGAGCCATCAGGTGCAAGAGTGGAGTGGAGTGGAGCACAATTCCACTTACCCTGCCCCTTCGTAAACTGGAGGTTAATGAAGGTCATGGATATAGTTTACTTTTATACCAAAAGGTTGCCAAGTTTTTGTTTTTACCTGTAGGCTCAAAGCCATTTGCACGTTACCAGAGTAACAATGTTTTTAAACATAGAATATAGTTTGTGATGAATGGTGAATGCCTTTGGCCGGCTTGTGTGAGCGTAGCAATCGAACTCTCATCGTCTTGGCGATGCAAGCAGCGGGGGGGGGGGGGGGGGCAGACGTTTACACAGCAAAGGAGAGACGAGATTAGCGTACGGACAAATTCTGACCGTTTTATTTGAGGTATGTTTTTTGCCTCCTTTTCCATGTTCAAAAAACATGGAAATATACAACAAAAAATACAATAAAGTTATTTTGTATCTCATAAAAATCTCTCAAGCCACAAATCTTGTGTCATTTGATACACGGGGTTCTAAGGAAACTAGTTTTCATCTACGGGGAAGAAAGGGGAGGGGGGCGGAGGTGGGAGGATTCGAAACAAAGAAAAAAAGTAATCTTAACTGTAAAATGTCACCGATCGTAAAAGGAGAAAATAAAGAAGGGGCGGGGGGGTTAGAGATTTTGAAAATACTAAATAATTTAGTCTCTGATGTAGAGCCAAACAAAAGTTGGCAACTCGCGCGACTTAAAGTTACCCAACAGTTTAAATGTCACGCCATAGCACAGAAACGACATTAGAACAGAATCGGAGATCCACGGCCTATAAAGCAGACATCGTTTAAGAACAGAGCCTATGACCACATTCGACTTCACAGCTATTCCATGGCATCATATAGAGAGAGAGAGACTGCCAAAGCGGCAAACTCCAACGAAACCCATCACCATGAAGCAATGCGCAATTATGAGTCAAATTAAACATTTCAGCAGACAGTGTCTCATTTTTGGCTAGTAACTGTGTTGGAAGTGTTTTCCGATTTCAGTTTGGATTAGTGGTTTAATTTTGTAATTCAGTCATTAATTTTTCGATTTAAAGCTTTCGTGACTGCATGGATTCATCTTCTTGGTTCTTTCGGTAAAGTCACGTAGAAGGGAAGTAATAAAATAATAAAAAACATTATGTTTTATTTTTATTATTTTATTACTTCCCTTCTACGTGACTTTACCGAAAGAACCAAGAAGACAGTCATTAATTGTACTTTTTTTTTACTTCACGTGCAATGCAGTGGCCATGTCAATAAGTGCCATCACATGAAAACCCAATGAGATGTGGAAGCGAATTAACTACATTCTGGAAACAAACAATCTAAACACGACTGGAGATGACCTTGTTCAATTCATATCTGTCTTGCTTTGTGGTCTACTATTCTCTGTTAAAACACTGATCGGGCGTTTTATTTTGAATCGAGGTCAGGACCCCCCCCCCCGCCACACACCCCCGCAAAGAGAACACGGATACCCCCCCCCCCCCCCCCATTGGTCTCACGACTACGATCTTTTACAGACGTCAAAATATGAGAATCGCAAGATTTGGATACTCTGTACAGCAGTTCAAGCGAACACGTTCTCCCCCACCTCGTGTGGCACGATGCGCCGCTCGTCATCCCGAACACACTCGATCGCGGCGTACGTCAACATTAATCAATTATCTGCGATTTGTACAAAAACAAGCTCAACGGTTATTTATTTACGAAACGTTCAAAAGCAACAACAAAAGAAACTTTCCGAAATAACAAAACAAAAGGAACATTGCTTGCGCCGCGGTCCTGTTTCCAACACAGACACAGCCGAAAAGTGATTTGCTAGTGAGGTGACAACATTTTAAAGCTTTTACCAACAAAATTTGGTTGACCCACAAAAAAGGACACGCTTATCATATTGAGGAATAACTCTAGCGCCCTACGTCTTAGCTATGACCTACGCGCACTACACATACTAAAGAATGCACATTTTGAAAACTTTATTAACACTGCTGAGACAGTATTACTACTGTACCAGTCTTTTTGAGGTAGACTTAAATTTTCTCTTTTTTTTGTTCTTCAAATGTACAGGTTTTCTTTTTTTGTGTGATGATTTTCACGTAGTTTTTTTTTGTAACGGCTATACATACAACAAACGATAAAAGGAAAGCTGTAAAATAAATACAACACCACCACAAAACATGACGCATAACGCGGTACGGCAGTGAGGCAGGGCCTGGTTAAGTCGGGACGACACACCTCGCTTCTCTTGCACCCCCCCCCCAAACCGTTGCATTTGTCAACGCACCGCTCGCAACAACAAAAAAACACCGCTCAATCGGACGGATGGAAGAAGAAAAAAAAATCAGGAAAGGGGCAAAAAAAACCCCTCAAAATTCCCTCTTTTCATTTGGATCCTCAAACAAACACGCGCGCTCGTTCCTGAAGACGAAGCGATATTTGATTAATTTACCATTAGTACGATTTACGGGGGAGAAAGAAAAACAACCTCTCTCGTGCCGAGAAGAAAAACGTTCGGCAAAAAGTAACGCAGCGCTTGCGGAAGGCGAGAGATGATGGTTTTAAGTGCCGAGTGCGTCCGGCGATACGAAAGTCGGCACACTACAATTTAAAAGCTCACCCATCAGCGAGTTGTCCAATTAAACATGGCTTTGTTTTCTAACAGCATTTTGATAAGGGGCATGCAATTAATAAGCTGACAAATCCAATCAGATACTTGGGTCCTCATGCACACGCAGAAGTGACTCTGCGCACCAAATGTTGTTTTGATTACGACCAAGAAACGTTGTAAGGGACGGGACTCTAATGGAAAAAGAATTAGCTATGGATGGGGGTGATTGGGGAGAATGAACGTAATATGAATGCCATCCATCTATTTCAGTTGCCACGATACAAACAAGAAATTGTGACTTGCTCAAAGTGCACCGACACACACGGTGACAAGGGTTTCTAATTTAACTTCTGAAATGTAAAAGGAGTGCTGAACTATATTCTACGCGACTTTCTGTGTTCTTATGCAGTGCCAAGCGAGCTTCAGAAGATAGGGTAAGGTGCATTAGCCAGACATTGCTGCAGCCAGCAATGTGTTTCCATTACTAATTATCCGAGCTCTAAAGCTTTCTCCCCCGTGACCATCAATCAAAGGCACCCATTAGGTGTTTGGGAGACGAACAAAAACGACTCAACGAGGAATCCATGGAGTTCTTTTTGAACAATATTTGAGCTTTCATTTGTGACGTTCATGCCGTAATGTTGTTCAGCGATAGTGACCACAAGCTGATTCAGAAACAAACATTTTAGCCTGACAGCAGCTTTCCAAAGCTCCCGACTCGGCTTAGAAAGTCTTCCGAAGACGAACCTTTTAATAACCCATTCGAACTAGCTCTTGCTCTAAGAAATTCACAAAATGACAAGTGCTCTCCCAGTGGGCGCAGATCTGTATATGTGCGTATATATAACAGGACAAATTGAGGGGGGGGGGGGGGGGGGAGAAGATAGAATTCAATTCAATTGCATTAAAATAGCAACTTAAGCGGTCGGAGGAAAATGAAAAAAAAGAGTTGAGGTCTGTGCGGGAACTGCGCGTCTCGCTCTGCAGACCTCACGTCCTCGCTTTCACCACCCGGTACTCCTTACCAGACGTCAATCAACTGTCTGTGCATTCAGCGCTTTTAAGGAGGTCATACAATGAGCGGGTGGGGTGGTGGTGGTGGTGTAGGGGGTGGATGGGGGCGATTGGGGAGAGTGAACGAGACGAGGCTTGTGGAGCAAGGCGAGAAAGCGCGGGCAATGGGAGGGAGCCGTGCGGCACAGAGGGCCTTGGCTGTGGGTTACTGCACAAGCTGCACAAGCTGCTGCTGTGGGTTACTGCACAAGCTGCTGCTGCTGCTGGCGATCTCATCGCGAGCTGGGTGCGGGTGCTCGGGGCCAGATGAATGTGGGCAACACTTAACTGCGGAGGCGCCGCTGTTTTTCTACTTTATAATTAATGTGCGCGTCGCTACTATTGTTGCCTTCTTCGTCTTTTATTCCCCTCTAGGTTTGAAGACAAAACAAATGATGCATGTGGGAATTCAAATTATGCTAACAAAACACAAGACGATGTTTCAGCAGTTAACTATTTCATAGAGCCGCTATTTTAATTTCCACATGTAGAACTCTGTGCGATGCATATGGGGGCACACTCAGGGAGTACGTACGATGCCCACGTACAATTTGACGGAATCCGCTTGTAAGGCGTTTTGGGAGTTGTGAAGTCGAGCTATGGTTACAAAGTTTTGCAAGCCGAGTGTTGGTGGTCAGCTGCACAAAGGTCACATCCTCAGACAGCCAACACGTCTCCACAATTTCCCAGCTTTCTGTTACGCCAAATTCGCTACGTTGCAAGGGACGGCCGAGCTCGACCCCTTGCGAGCGTCCCGCTAACGCCGCCAGCCCCGGCCCCGCCATCCTGGAATCGGATTCCCGTGGAGGCAGCGCCGCCGAGATTCTCGCGTTAGAAGCGTCACCTCTGCGGAGTGAGCTCGGGTGAAGGCCGACGGGGCGATCACGCGCACCGCGGATCAGCGGCGCACCGCGCGCCACGCGAACGGGGGGGCCTCGGTGAAGGGTCTGGCTTGGTCGTAGCGGTCGAAGCCAAGCGACTACGCGTGTTTCACGTAAGCCTGCCAAGGGCTACGTTTGGTCAATTTCGATTCATGCAAGTGCTATAAACTGTATCCAATTTGTTCTGACTGCAGCAGGCGAAACCCAGGACGGCCTCTCTGCAGAGACATATGCAAAACAAAGTAACACAAAAAAGAAAGGGAACATGTTTTGTAAGAATATCATGAAAGTAACGTTGTGGAGCATCGACATTATTGTGAATGAATTAAAACGTGATCTAATTGGTTTTAAACGTGTGTCAGTATTTGTAAGTTGAAAGATGAACATGTATTGCTCGTGGATGTCAAAATTCCTCCCAGAATGAGTTGAGTTTACCAATCAAAGAGCGAGGAAAGAAACCCCTCCCCCTTCCCAAAAAAAACAAACTGGACTTCATTTTTTGGAATCTAGACGTCTACTTAAGTGTTCCATATTCTCAACTTGCCCGCAAGCCAGCTCGGTGAAGGATGGAAAGGGTAAAATGGGGGAAGAGGGGGCAGGGTCAGAGGTCTAAAGCCAAAGGTGAAGACCGTTCTGTGGGCCAAAAAAAAAAAGCTTCAATTCGATTTTCCTAAAACACAAACAATTATCGTAATGTGGGCATCATGGCGGTGTGACCCTGTGCTTGCCTGGTCTGCTGACCATACTGCTGCCTTGTTGTTCAGAAGAGCCCAAGAATGAATGTTCAGCGTAAACAGCTCGCAATCCACGGGATATGCATTTGTACCTTGCATCGAGCGACGCTTTAAAGGTTGGCATTAGATAGTATTCACGTGCACCAACTCAAGTTTGAACGGCGATATTGTATGTTTTCCTTAAAAAATGCTGGTAGGTAATGGGAAAGCACTGCTTATTATTTATTGAGAATGCATTGGTGGGAAGTTTTTTTTTTGTTCGTTGCCTTTGTTCTGCGGCCAAACAAGAGAGAAAAAAAAACCTTAAAAAAATAATAAATTAGTTAAAAGACAAAAACCTCAACGGTCGTGAAAATTTGTGATGCGGAAGGTCCGTTGTTGTGGGCGCGCAACTTTCTGCTTGAGCTGGCGTGCTGCAGACGGATTAGCGCAATGGAATGTGACCGCACCACCACTGCACCAGCACCACTGCCTCGCCGTGCACGCAGCACTGCGCACTCACGGAGCCCTGCGCCGCACGGTCGCTTCCTCCACCAGCAAACACAATCAGTGTCCCTCTGCGCCCGTTCTCAGTTTTTGCAATTTTTGTTTGTCGTTTTTCTCTCTCTGACATTTAACACCGTTTCATTTTTGTCTTCTTTTCCGTCCGTGGTCAAAAGCGACGAGTGGGCGCTGGATGTGCAGAGCAGACCCACGAGGGAGAAATACAGAACCGCGAAACACCTACAGGACTACTACACAGTGCCCGGAGCAATGATGAGAGAAAAACAAATAACGAAATTAAACATTCGACTTGAGGTATATTAAGTGTTTAAAAATTGCTTTCCTGAGTGATATTTGAGAACAATTTGTCGTTTGTTGTTGATTTCTTTTTTTTCGTGACCGGCGCATGAGCAATAGTTTTAACACTTAATATCGTTAATATTTCACATGGTTGTACTCTCAACATGCAGCAAAAGACCAAATTACCAATTACCGCTAACCCCCTCCCAGCGCAAATAAAAAAGCAGTTTGTTGCTAACCAGCAACGGGTGGATGGATGGTAAAAGCAGCAACGGTATACCATCTGCAGCAAGGGCACGCGCCAAATTCGGCAGACACACACAAGGCGTAGTAGTCGACCCAACCACACGCTGCGACTGCCAAGCGGACTCCACGTTTAAGGAAATTAACCATATTTGCAGAGGCAAAATGACGATCATGCAAATGTGTAGAGGCCGAAATGGCCAACTTGTTCAACGGTGGCAGTCGTCTGTGAGGCGTCGCTCTTGCAAGCTGTGTGGGGATGCGGGATGCCAAGGGATGGACCCCCAGAGTTTGCTGGGGCATGTTGTGGACACTAAATTATTTTAAATGGCTTGAAAAATCTAAAAATAATATCAGCGAGTACCATTCGTCTACAAAGTGGAAACAATTTAATTAGAGATGGATTATCTTTGCCAAATATTTTTTTGTTGTTGGGAATTGCCAACGAGACGCGAACATTCGGGTGCACGCCTCCACTGCCTAAACCAGTGCTAATTGAGAAGCAAATACATTATGCATTCCTGCTGTTCATAGTCAATAAATTGTTAATAAAACCGCCACGGGGACAACATATTTAGAGCTGAGCATTATTAAATATTCACGACTAAATATCCATACTGCATTTGCAAGAATGAAAAAATAATTCCAGCAGACACAATGCTGAGAATCATTTTGAAACTGCACATTTTATGCTCGAACGTTATTCATAAATTGAGCCTTGGCTTGCAAATATTAAAAAAATGAGTGAATTCAGGCTAGGTTTATGGGATGACCAATGAATACATAAAGCTACATTTTTCTGTTTAATATGTTAACTTTATGCAAACACTATCGCTCGGCCATGCATGAAGGATTAATGAAAACTTATATCTAAATGAAAGAAGCCAAAGGTGGAATTTAAAGGAAATAAATGCTGGAATATATCAAAACGTATGTGTAGCATAAAAACAAAAGTTGGCATTCCGAGCACCCCAACACAAGCCATCGCAAGCCAAGACACCATACTTTTCTTTGTTCGTGAGAAAAAGCCAAATAAGTATATTAAGTGGGTTCAAGTGCGTTTCAGAAATATGTTGGTCCATTACAAAAGAGCTGAGCTCCCTGCCTGGTGTCTGTGTAATTGCCAGTGCACAGAAATATGTCCAGGTGGAATTCTTTTGTGGTGGCGGCGGCGGCGGAGGCCGCAGTTTGAGTGGCGGCAGGCCCGATGCATTCATTCACAGCCGCTCTATGAGAAATGCCTCCCGCGGACTCCCGCAGTCCAGTTGTTGCTGTGCGTGCTCCTCTCATCAGCATAGGCTACACCTCTCTCGGCCGAGCATCGCGCCCCATTGCCTTTCGTCGCCGACACCGCAGCCCGATGGACAAATGTAAAATTCATCATGGTTTTAGGGAATGGTTCTTGGGAATGATTTCCCAGAAGCACAATTTTAGCACTGATAAATATGCATGCATCCTGCATACCACTTCGCTCTGCTAATTTCCATATAGTTGCCCACGTTTTTTTTGTTCGGTCGTATTTTTATCCGATTCTGTTATTTTCCTTTTTTGTGGGGTCCACAATTATATGCCCAAAAGGAACAAGGTTCGTAGTAAAATGTACAATTAAGTACCCGATTTAAAAAAAGGTATTTTAAATACTGTTAGGTCATACCAAAGACAGAAAGCACAGCTTACAGATGGTACAACATTGCTGCAATCGTGTTTCAAACACAATAAAACAAACTTTTGCATGCTTCCCATTCACTTCATGCCGAAATGTGCAGTGTTGTGCAATTAAACATTTAAACCCGAATCCTGGTCTTGCCTTTGAAATTCAATCCCCACTGGTGTTAATCTTCACTGTAAATTTGTGTATAGGTCACACGATATTTTTGGCATGTGGTATACGGATAGGTCAGTCTGAGCTCGCAACTTTTCACTTTCAGCCAAAAAATAACACAGCAAAACCAAAACACTACAACACTGAACACCACCGCACGCAAAGTGGCGTGCATCGCACGCACAGTGCCTCTATGGCCAAGAAAGCTATATTCGCAAATTTTTTGGTTCAATTTCAAAGTGTTTTTTCTTTCCAAAATTTTGAGCTTCGCCAAAACACTTTTTTTTGTCTTTTAATATTTTAAAAGTTGCAACTTCTTTCGTTTCGCTATTCCCCCCCCCCCCATTTTCTTCTCGTTTTATCGCCTTATATCTGCCACACTTTGCCGAGGCAACCCCATTCCGCCCCCACGACCCCAGCCAACCACACTCGTGCCCAAGCCCCTGCCATCGACCACCCACCCACCCCTCCCCCGCAGAACAGGGACAACACACCTCACATACACAAGCAAATGGCTGCTGCTCTCAGTCCCGGTTTGCACGCAGCAGTCGGCCTCACGTCGCCACAAAAAACGAACCACATTCAAGGGCACGGGCAGCAACGGCAGTGCTTCATTTGGGCACGTCCCAAGTTACAGTAAAATGATGCACAATTTCCATTATTTTTACATTTTTCTAAAATTGATTTTTGTCTTTTTCCTCTTTCGCTTTTGCCGTTGTTGAGACTTCAGGTTCTTGGTTTCAGTCCGACGAGCATTTAGGTAGACACAGTTGTTGCTTTTATTTCATCGCGGGGTATGTTTCTTATTGTTTATTATCGTAATAAGGGGTGCAGCATTTGTAAATTTCTGCACGACTGAAAAATAAAATTATAAAAAATGACCAAGATCCTTCAAAAGATGAGAGTCATCAGCACTCGATGCAAAACATAGCACGCAAAACACACAAAGCAGCTTCTTAACGGTAAGACAATGTGCATTATTCTTCTAAGGCTGTACTTCAGAATTAAACGTAGCGACGTTTTTTTGCTCGACAGTAATAAATCTGGCAGGTAACGAGAGGAGGTAAGTGGTAAAACATAAAGTGTTTTCCCGTTAAACCCTGCATCGGGCAGAGCGGAGCTTCCATGGGCTACATTTGCTGGGCCCATCACTGGAGAAATATCGCAATTCGTTCCTTGTTAAGACTTTGGCAAAGTATATTTAACATTTGCTCTCTTTTGGGTGAACACTTTTTCTATCGAAAAGAATTACCACAATGTATTCCATCTGCTGCCAATAAATATAGCATAAAGATCTTTCGTGACAATGCACGAAAGGATGCATCTAATGTACAGCAATCATTGTGAGGTAGTCACAAGCTCAAGCTTTGACGGGAATTGGCTGCAGTAGAGACCACAAAGAGAATCGCTCGTATTTCTTGGAGTCTTTTCATCTTGCGTGGGGGCAGAGTCACTTGCAAACTTACCGCCACTGTGCGAATGATAAATTGGCAGTGTGCGAGACATCCACAGATGAATGGTGTAAATGCAAAATCCCGCTTCATACACTCGCCAAGCCGCATGAATGTCACACGCCTTGCGTCAAAGAATGTGAGACAATTTACGGGTAAACTCTGATAATGAAACAAAAATGCCCGTGATGTAGCATTTCAATCGAGCGCCTGGTTGCACGCTCAGAAGAACTTTTCGCAGGAACTGGAAATGCGATTGCGATGCATCCTTTTCTAAACTCTCAGATGAAACATGCACCCAGCGCTAGTCGATCCAATTCTTCCCACGTCCACGTTGTTCTCTTTAAAATCTTTTTTTAGACGGACGGTCATTCGAGCAACAGCACAACAATAACTTCCCACACCCACCCGGGACAAATTTTTCTTTAAATTCCTGTTGCCACCGCACTGGGCGAGATCGCACCGGGGATGAAATATTTTTCTTCAAGACTGTCAATTTTCCAAGGAGATGCCAGGCCCCACCACCCCGACAGTCTGCTCTGCGGAACGATACGTCGGCGTGGGCGCGGTGGGGCCACGCCCGCCGTTGGTGCCGCCACCTCCGGTGACAGAGCTGCCGCCGTACTTGTGGTGCTGCTCTAAGCTGTCGTGCGGCTTCACCGGCTGGAAGCCCAGGCTCGGCACTCCTGATGCAGCCTCACCATAGTCCGTGCCACGCATCTGAATGAATGCCCACAAACACGCCAGGTAGGGGAAAAAACTTGTGTTTCATGTCACTGCGCGAACAATGAAACCGATCCAACGCCCTGGTTTTGCTGCAAGCAATGCGTGGCTGGGCTGGGACACCAAGGTGTTCATCAAGCAGGTGAGCCTGCACCAAGCCAGCTGGTACACACATTAGGCAGTTTTACTACTGTCATAGCTGCCACCGTGATAGTGCCACCGCATATTACGATGGGAAAAATATCGGCGTGGTTTTGTAAAGTGGAACTTGACTAGAAAACTGCGAGTTAATTCCCGCAGGCATGGAAGGATTTATTACTGTCGTAGTCGCTGCACAAGAAATGCTGCCACGTATTAATGTGGCAAAATGTAGTGTGTTTTTTTGTTAAGTGGAGCTTAACGAAGAAGCCGATTCACAAGCTGAAGTCATACGGTGCCCAATGTCATGACCCAATTTGTAAAATTACTTTCAACTAAACTACAGACAATAAATATTAACTCTTATTTATTCTATACGAGCTGCCAAGGCCACCATACACATATAAAAAGGTATAATAATGAATGCTAACCTGTGATTAAATAGAGGAAATTATTTGATTGACATATGAGCAATTCAAACTCTGATGGGGGTCTTACCAAGCGGTCCGGACTGCCCATGTGAGGGATCACCAGAATGAACGTGCTGACTGGGCAGCAGGACAATTCCTTTGATGTCGTCTGCTGAGCTACAATTGGGCAAGAGTCAGGAACAATCGCTGGGATTGGCAGCTTTCAAGATTGCTTTCCACTGTCAAGGCATCACTCACTGAGTGGCATCAATTAGCCGGATTGGGGGAAGGGGCGAGGTAGGGTTAAACAAGAAACACAAGAGAAACTTTACATCAAAAGCCATCTCGGTGACACACACTCCCCCCCCCGTGTAACATTGGGTGGCAATAATCCCACAACTTAATCTCATTTAGTTTAATATAGCAAAACAAGGTGTCACTAATTTACTGAATGTACTTTCTAGTCAAGGCTCGGCGCACTGGGTGGGTTTGGGCAGTCGTGAGTTTTAGGTTTCAACGCAGAACAAAGTGGGCAACTCTTAGCCAGGCTGAACCTGCCATGAGCTCTTTACGCTTGGCAATTATTCAATCACCTATTTAAGTATCATCATGCCTTTTTAATTAGTGAAAGATACGTATACTATACATATATACACACACAAACACATATGTGTGCAGTTGCTAGAGTAAAGAGTGTTCATTTTGAATAGAATATGTATTGTATTTCAAGGAATATAAAACAATACATTTTCAGCCCTTGGCCAATTCAATCATGCTGTGTAAAAGTTATAGGAGCTGTTTAACGATACTTCACCATGCTGGTCAGATCGGGATAGTACAATGAGCGGTCAGAAAAAGTTCAGATAACACTCACTACTGATCTTAGCCATGGCTGGGATTCAAAGTGAGAATGCCAAACTCATAGCACTGTAATTAAAAAATATATGTAAATTTTCAGGAGTAGATTCAAACACATAATCGTGTTTTGGTTGTTTGGGTTCCCCACGGGACATCCCTTGATCTACGAGACATCTTTTAACCTACTGTACATCTGTGAAGAAGAGCTTCATAGCTCATCGGATTCCTCCAATCTCAAAGATTCTGATATTATAAACAGGATGTCTGTCACGTTTTAGGGATAAAGATTTTAGTCACTACAAGTGCCCAAAACCCCACACACTTCGTGGTGATCAACATCCACACCACAGACATGCTCCGGAAAGGACAAATGTAAATCTCCCATTACACTGCTTAATGTCATCTCGGAGAGCGACAGGTGAATGGGTTAAGTACCATTCCCTGTTCAAAAATCATGGGCCTCAACAATGCAATATGGCCCTCTCGTTATATTTAGCGCAAAGTCAAAGACGCACACCCCCAAACAATACGACGTCAATTTCAATGAAATTGAATTTTAATTTAAATACACAAACAGAAATGGGGCGGAATTACAGAGAGAAAAAACACACGTGGGGTATTAATGCACAGGGCTTGGGGCAACCAATGGTTACGTCATCATCCCCATCAGAGCCACCACCAATGTCACCAATGACGATGACGCAATGGTAAAGATCGTCTCATTTCAATGACGAAAGTTTAACTCCCAACTGTGACGGGTGGCAAAGATGTCCTTGTTGGATCTGAACAAATTAAAATTATCATTAAAATCAGATTGTGGCATGAGGCTCATGTTTAAAGAAACATTCGTGAACATACACATTTGCCAGAGGTCACAATAAGCTGCCAAGAATCGTTGTGGGACACGAGAATGTTGATTCTGAATCATAAATTCCCAGGTTATACTCTTCCCAAAAATAAATCCTTCATCTCAATGGGCCCTTCATAATTAATGATCGAATTATAATGTTCAGCACGAAGGCAATCCACTGCTAGATGAAGGCCTCCCCATGTGAAGTTGATCATGGGGGTTGTTTTACGATACTTCACCATACTGGTCAGTGGGGTTTCATGAATGAGGATGGGGCCCTGGACCGCTTCATATATCTCTCGCCACTCATGTTAGCCATAGCAGGGAATCAAACCCAGGTCACCGAGATCCTTGTGTAATGTGCTGACCACTTCATCCCTGTTCCACCCCAAAAGTCCTATCTGGTTATTACAGAAATACATTGCCTTGATTAAATGGTAAATAACAATTGTGAATACTCTCTTGTGAATAACGCGCCTTTAAATCGCATGCACGGAACAGCCCAAGACGCTGTTGCATTCAGGCCAGCGGCAGAGAAGGTGCTCCGTGCGCCGGCACCGCGTACACACCTGCATGGACGTGGGGCCGTCGGACGAGTGGTACAGCGGGCTGGGCGTGTCCCTCTGCTGTTGCTGCGGCTGCTGAGACCGGTAGCCTCCGTAATCCAGGTCCCCATCGCGGCCCGGGTAGAAGGCTTTCCTAGTGCCGGGCTCCGACGCGAAGCTAGCCGTGTGGCCAGGGTACCCCGCGTAGCCGGGCCCGGCCGCGTGCGAAAAAATCCCAGGAGGCGGTGGCGGCGGTGGCGGCGGCGGGACGAAGGCCCCCGAGCCGGACTGGTGGTGGTGGTGATGGTGGTGGTGGTGCGGGTGCGGGTAGGCGACCCCCGCCGCCGCCTGCTGCGCCAGGTACGGTGACGGCGAGTAGCCGTACACGGGGCTGGGCATCGCGGCGTACGCCGGCACGGGCCCGCACTGCGGGTAGCCTGCCGGCGCGGAGAGGTAGCCGCCGTTGCTGCTGCCGCCGCCACCGTTCGAGCCGTAGGCCGGCGCGTAGTCGCGCGCCGCCGCCACCGCAGCCGCTACGGCGGCGCTGCTCACCGGCACGGCGCTGCCAGCGGAGGGCGGAGGCGCCGGGCTCAGCCGCGACACGCCGCCCGACTGCGAGGCGTAACCCGGCTGCTCCGCCAGCGAGCCCGGCGGAGCGTCCCCGCCGGAGGGCAGCGGCGTGCTAGACGTGCTCCGGATGAGGTCCGGCACGGCCGGGTTGATGGCGTAGATGCCCGACCAGGGCTGCTCGCCGGGCTCGGGCTTCTGCCCGTTGTTGGCGGCGCCGTCCGGGTAGCCGTCCATGCCGCCCACGGAGTACTTCTCGGCGTAGCGCTTCAGCAGGTTGGAGGCGGTGAGTTCCGAGATGTCGTCGTTGGCCCACGAGTACGTCGAGTGACCGCGCTGCAGGTGCACCTGGTACGCTTCGGCCGCCGCGGCCGCCGCGGCTGCCGCGGCCGCCGCGGCGCTCTTGTGGCCAGGGAGCGGCACGCCCGACAGGTCCAACCGCTGTATGGGCGGCGGGTGCGGCGGCACCGCCACGGGCATCTGCACCGGAGGGGGCACGGCCGCCGCCTGCCAGGGGCTCAGGTGCTGGTGCGGATGCTCGGGTGTCCACTGCATCTTCTAAGGAACCTGGCGCACACAGCAACACACGGCTCTTGAGGTTGCATTCATTAATGGTTGTCACCCTTATTCACGTAAACATTAACAACAAGGATGCCTGGGGTTATGTGGCCATACTTTACCGCACTAGTCAGCGTAGAATGGTGAAGGGGATGGACCAGGACCGGTTCGGATAGCACTCACTGCTGACGTTAGCCGTGGCTGGGAATCTAATTCTGATCACCGCGTTCATAGCGCAGTGCGCTAACCATTGCACCACCACTCCACCGTTTTCTGACCATTGCTGTCGACGATTAGTACGATATTGATTATATTGATAACGAGTCCATGCCACAATGGTAAAATATTGCTGTAATGAGAACCAAGTTGTTTATGAAGATGTGTTGTTTTAATACAAGAAGTTTAACAACCCTATGCATTTCTTATACAAACATTTTTACTCATTGAAGTCATAAAAGGTCAACCAACAAATATAATTGTCCTATGACCTTCGGACTGTCATTCCAGCTCCAACGAGAGCACATTTGTCAATATTCTGTCACCTCTGTAGGAGTTTCAGCAAGAAGCTTGCAACACAGATGTATATTTTGTGAACTTATATGCAGAGATAACTCACGTTGTTTAGTGAAGAGCCCCGAAGCAATGCAATGCTGCACACGTAAGTGCACGTGTATATTTAGACACGAAGCAACAAAGACCAACAACGGAAGAAAATACAAACGTGAACCACTGCAAACAATTCATACGAACCAAACAAATAACAAGGGAATTAAAATGACAGAGGAAGGATTTACAGTTGAGTGAACGAACTGGCTTAAAAGGTCCTCACAAAACCTATCGGGTGGATTTCTCTCTCCTTGTCGTCTTGCAGCCACGGCGGGCGTGCGTTTGTGCGCTTCGCCTGATATTGCTATCAACGCGGCAGGCTCGATACGAAACAGACGCCGGCATGCCAAATTATACATTACGCGGGTCTCCGGTGTATTTGACACAATTTGAACACAATGACGAGCCCTGCGGCCAGGCTTTGCATTTAAATCACGCTCCCGTTTTTTTTACTTGGCACACACGCACGCGCGCCGACACAATGCCTTCCTTCGGCGGGGAAAATACCAAAAAAGCCTGAATGCTAGGAACATTTACATCTTCTTCATTCGCCAATGTCCTGGCGTCGCCAATGCTCAGCGTGCACTCTTCGCCGCATGTTTACGAGAAACCCTCGGGAATAGTTAATATGGTATTTAATGTCACGCGTAAACATGCAAGCTGTGTGCGCTGGAAACTTTGCATGCTCTGATCAGACAAGCATCTCATTAGGATGTGACCGAAGTGTCCATCCAACTCAGCCACCGAGAGGCTGGCATCTCTCGGAGACACTTACATATGTCACAGCATCTGGCGGCACAGAGCATGCGTGCTTCACCGTTCTCCAGCAATGTGCTAATGATGACAAGGGCTTTTTAATCAATGCAGCAGAAATAGTCCACGATGATTTGGCGTTACATTTTAAGGTATAATGAATAATAATTTACGGCCCTTTGTCCATCCGCTGCTGGATGAAACCCCCCCCCCCCCCAAGCCATGTCGGTCATGGGGGTTGTTTGACCATACTTTGCCACGCTGGTCACTGTGGGTTGAAGGTGCGAGGTAAGAATCAGTTCAGATATCGCTCATTAATGAAGCAGCTTCCACAAAAATACCGCGCTGATTGCCGACTTTATTAAAAGCGCAATCAACGCCGGCGATGAGATTGAGCGTCATGGGTAAGGACAAAGCATTGTCCAAGTGATAACTATGTATATATAAGCCGTTGTCAAAACATTCTGAGAATATGGCTATAAAAGTAAAAACAATTAATATTGTAATTTCAAATCTTCAATATGTAGCTTTAATCAACATAAGCATAACATTTTGTTGGTGCAATATTTTCATCGAAACCTGAATCTCAAATGTTTTCACTTCCCCGAATAAATGTAAATATTTAACATGTATATGTGGTCCTTGTAGACACTGTATTCACATATGTATGTGAATACGTAAGAAAAACTAAAATCAAAGCCGTACGTTATGCATTCACGCATCAGTGCGCTGGCGCTGTACTCTACGTTTGGTTCTTAAACACAGCAGCTCCATGAAAAGCTGAAAAGCTCACCCGAAACACGCTCGTGCAGCGGGAATCCACACTCTTTCGTTTCCAAGTCGTCGGACAGCAGCGGGAAACAGTGGGACACACGCGTGCGTCTTTTGATCAGCTCCATCAATTCCGCCACTTTGCATAAGGCACGCGTAAACAATGCCCACTTATGCCCCCCCCCCCCCCCCCGTTACACAATCGATTCCGTTTCATTCTCAAAGCCGGCGACGTACGTCAGCGTAACAGAACCCGCTCGTGCTACAAATTGCCTTGAATGCGCGAGGCACGGCCGCTACGCGGCCGCTGAAAGTGGACGCCTCCCCCCTTTGTAGATCAAACGGGCCACTCGCGGGAAAGGGTAGCCACGCGTGAACATCCGTGGGCCGCAACCGGAAGAGCAGGTTGAACTCTCCATTCACACCGACGGCCCCTTTTGATTCGTAATGAGCCGCTGTCACGTACTGCGAGTGTTAGCATTTTATATTGGATATACACGAGAGCTCTGGGAAATAGGTGCGGGGGGGGGGGAAACAAAGGCACGCGATTTCAAAGATGACACCTGGCACGGTAAATATAAAAGGTCCGTTGGCCGAAATGTCAGCTTTTTCAAACTTCAGCGTTTCACGAAACTCGATGTAACCTTTTAATAAGTCAGTGCGTCTTAAGAGTCCTGACAGCAGATATTGTCTTCAAATATCCACAGCCACGAGCTGGTGGACGTATCCAACGCTGCCAACGTTCAGGACTGGCGAACATTTCAATCACCCATTTACCTATCGCGTTACATTGTCAGGAAAACGCGAAGGAAAAAAAGTCGCTTCTGTTATTTACTTAAAAGCCTTTTTTTATGGGAATGTAAATATATTCACTTTACTGCGAGGGAACGAGACGAGTGATTACATTCTGTTGAAACCAACAGTTGTTCATAGTACGTGTGTGCAGATTACCACAGCAATCTAGGTCAGTTCAAGGACCATTGAGGTAGGCCATATACCTAGAAATAGATACGTGCTAATTGTTAAAAACGTAATTGAAATTAACAAGGACACACGCGTTATCCTATTAACGTATCAATATCCAGTAAAACTAACTGGCGGCAAACTTAAATGGTTATCTTTGCAATGTCTATGGATGGGGGGGAAAAATCCACAGCAATTAAAAATTCTAATGATGATACTATATAGATGTATACAATAAAAAAACTGCGGAATTATCTCAACGGCTTTAATTATTCTCGACAGAATAAACCAGGCCCTCCAATTAATGCGATTTGAATACTGTCTCACAAACAATGGGCCGAGCGCTTTGACATGCAAATGACGGTCGCACTAGCAGCGGTGCCGGGTCGCCTGATTGAGGCCTCCCGCAGCAGGAGCCGAGAAATAAATTAACGCGCTCGCCTCTTTAAAATTCTGTCCCGGTTTTTTGTTTTGTTTTACACGCGCAACTTGGCCGCTGGCTTTTGTTTCGCCGAAAATGTATATTGTTCTTGCGGTTAACAATAACGTTTGGCGATCTCTTTTGTTTCAGCGGAATTTTAATTTGCGCGAAGGCAAAGCGGTCGCGAGTACTGCAATGTAAAAGTTTGCAGAGTTGGCCCAGCTAAATCAGCCTGGCAGTGGTATGAAGGGACGCTAATCAGTGCCGGGCAAACGTGTGTTGTTGTTCCACATTTACGTCTCAAATGAAATACTGAATAACAGCGGTAGAACTACAGGACAATTAATTCACTAATTGGGACGAAGTGCTTTAGAATCCTCATTTAAGACAATGAAAACCGGTTCTATTTGAATTTTTTGCATGAATACGTTTAAAAATGAAACAAAATTACTTTGTGCTTACAGCGGTTAAGATAGATACATTGCAAATACCCCTCGCCACGAAGAACTTGCAATGGCAAGGACACTGCCGTTTATATGCCGGATGACCGCAGGGGAGTGTAGATTTTTGTTGTAAAGCAAGCATTAATACGGCCTATTATTATATTATGCAATCTTTTTAGTAAAACACTTTCAATGTTTTTTTTTCAGGATTAATAAAATGTGTCACATTTCAAAATATTGTTCGCACTTTGCGCACGATAAAAACAAATCGCTTTTTTAAGCTATTTACATTAAATACATGTTTACACTCAAGTATGTTCAACCTAAACATCGCGCAAATAGGCAAACATTAGTACAAGTGCATTATGTACGGTAAGACTCAGTTGACTCACCAGACATGTGGTATATAAGAGACGGTGACAGGGCACACACACACGCTCTAATATGTGCGGAATATCAAGCAACACAGTACTCATTATAGACATGTACACATTAAAGCACTTGCCATACTGGGAAAGTGTGCAAAAGTGAAACAATCAAAAATCTAAAAAACCCATTTGTTTTAAGAAAGGTTGTCATGTGGCACGTTAATGCACTTGGGTTACGCATTTAAAAGCCTGTTGGGTCGGCAATCCAGCAAATTGGACGGATGCCGGATGGAGATTTCACAATTAATAAATCCTCTCCCCCCCTTTGTAGGTCTCGCCTCTCTGTTGGGCTCCTTTCAGCCCTTTCCAGCGCAGGGCCGCTCCTCCACAACGCGCAGCAGCAGCCTTTAGAGCGGCAGAGCACATCAAACACAAGTCGGAACTTCACTGCCTAAACTCCAAAGAATACAAACACGGCTCTGGCATTGAGACACTATTTGAGGAGGTCTCTTTATATGACCTATTTCAAAAGCGGCAGATCCCACAGGGCCACGCATAATACGCTCCGTACATCATACCGCCGCTTTTGGCCTCTTACGGACTATTAAGCACAGGGATGGCTTCCGCTATAACGTGTCGGCAAGAGTGACGGACCCCCCATTAGCTTCAAATGTCACTTTAACA